GAACCTCCATTTTGAACTTGTTGCCTCCTTTATTAAGGAATAAACACGCTTAATACTTCCATGTTCTTTGATACATATCTACATCCATTCTTCTGTAGTTTCCTACTATCTTTGAAGGGCAATTGTTGTAATTTTGTAGGACACTTCGAGTTGAACTAATCCTCCGCCACCTTCGGATCTGGGCACATACAGACGATCCATATCAGCCTTGGGATGATGCATGCGGTAGCAAGTGAGAAGTTTTCTCGTTTTGGTGTCCATTTGCTTAATGTCAGCTATGGTCCAATGAAGGATGTTAAAGCTGTATTGCACCACAGGGACAGCCAAGTTATTTATGACTGATATTCTATTTTTTGAGTTCAGCTCGGTATTTAGAACTAGACGCACACGCCTATAGTACTTCTTTCTTACCTTCTCCTTCATTTGGGTATGTTGTATACCATCTCCTTCGCTAATTCCTCGGTACTTATAGGCTACATCTTGTTTCAGTTCCCTAATCTTTGTAACAAAGTCTAAATCTATTGAAGGTGTTTCTGTAATCCTCTCTTTCTTGAATGTTACTTTTGCACATTTATCTAATCCAAAATCCGTACTTATGTCGTCACTGAAACATTTTACAATATCGAGGAGGCCCTTCAACTCATTGTCTTCTTTGACAAAGAGTTTGAGATCATCCATGTAGAGTAGGTGATTGAATACTTTTTGTTTAATTTGCAACCATAGCTACAGTTGTTTAATTCATGTGTAAGGGAGATTACAGACAAACAAAAGAGAAGGGGTTACAAGGAGACTCCTAGAAAGATTCCACGTCGGATATTCAGACGGTTGGAGATGGCAGTGCCTCTGGTGTGATTTAGGTATAGTGTGATGTTCCACACTCCCATGCTGCGCTTAAGGAAATTTACTACGACAGGGGAGACTTTGTACTTTTCCAAACTCTTAAGGATCCAAGAATATGGAACACTATCAAAAGCTTTACGATAATCAATCTACGCTGCGCTAAGATTTCAACGTCGTCTCCTGCAATTTTCCAGGATCATTTTGTTTATCAGTAGATGAACTTTGCAACCAATGTCTCTATCATCCCTTCTGTTCCAGAGGAAGAATGTTGTTTGCTTCAAAAAAAGAGTAAGTTGGGTTCGTCAGGACAGGCGTGATCAATATCTACGTGGTGGAGAGACATGTTATTGGCCTATAATTTCTCGGATCATCTGTTTCACTCGTTTTTTGCAAGAGATATGTAATACCTTCAGTGATGCATTCCGGGATTTCATTGAGATTATTTACAAGCATTAATAGAGTTTTTGAAGGAGTTTTATGGATCGATGAGAGATGATAGACCCGGAAATTGGCACCTTGTTATTTCCTGGGGATTTCCATTTTTGGGATTTCGTTACAGCTTGCCTAATAAGATTTGTGGTTATATTTTCCTACTCTTGCATTCGTTATACTTCATTCATTTCTTGTTACCCAAGGTTTGTTACCAGTCGCAATGACACAGATAAACATTTCAATTTAATTCCAAATATGTGTGCATCTATATTTTAATTCAATGAGAGACCTAAAAATATTTCTGCAAAATTAAAATAATTACTTTTTAAATAATTATTTATATTAGTGAATATTTTTCGAAAAATCCAATAAAATCTCTTAACTATATGATTTTTATAGGATTAAAATTAATTTTTTTTAATCAACAGATTATAATCAAGGGTATAGTTTTGCCTGACTGTGGGAAGAAAATGTATTATTTCACTGTGTTATTTCAAACTGAGAGAAATTATGTGCGTGCGTCTTAAATAACACAATATGTGAATTTTACACACAGAGATGGAGAGAGATTGTTTATATGGGTTATTATCATTAATATTAATTGTGGTAGTATTTCATTATTTTATGAGAAGGATTATATATATATATATATATATATTACTCAGTTAAATTTTTAAAACAATTCAACCTTAGCGTTACGACTGCATGCTCCAAAAATTTGTATCCGTTATCAATAACATATAAAAAAAAAAACATTTCGAATCGCATTATATTTTTTCGTCTCGGATGCTACCTGAATTTTACCAAAAACAAAATAATTTCCATACCTGAAGATGACTGGATGTACAGACGAAAGTACTTGCGCATTTAAGAAAGACCTTATACAGATTATAATTGTAAAAAACAAGGGTCGTAGGTTAAGGCATCTTTAAAATTTTGTTAGCGAACGGATTTCGACATTTTATATCATTAACTTTACTTTTGTATGAATAACTCATTGACATATATATATATATATATATATATATATATATATATATATATATATATATATATATATATATATATATGGCTTCCATGC